CCTGCCTCATTCCCCAGCCCCCACCCAGCCAGTTTTGGCAGAACAAGGAGCACCGCTGGGGGTGCTGAGGGAGGGGAGCGAGGCCGGGGCAGGCGGGCAGGCGAGCAACCCTTACCATGTCGGTGTAGATCTCGATGGCTCTCATTAAACAGTTGATGGCCTCTGTGGGGAGGAAAAGGCAGGTGGGGGAGAATGAGAGTGATGCCATTCCCGGTGGAACCCAAGGACAGGAGAGGTGTGGGCGCCCCTGGTGCAGGGCGACCCAGGCCACGTGCACTCTCCAGGGGCTGGGGAGGGCGGGACTCCCAGCCCAGGAAACGCAGTCAGAGTGACCAACTGCAGACTGCAACCTGCCAGGCACATGCTTCAGGGGAGCCCTTCTGTCCTCGGGCCGCCACGGTGCCACCAGCTTCCCAGCAACCCAAGGACAGGGCACAGTGCTGCCGGGCCAGGCTGACAGCCAGATCCCGTGGGTGTCGTGAGCAGCCCTGCCAAGGCCTTGCTGTCAAAGGACAGTGCTCCCGGCAAGTGGAGGGAGGTTCGTGGCAGCCTGGCTTGATGCCAAGGTAGTTCTGGAGGCAACGGGGACACCTGCCCAGGCTTACCCTGGGCTCTGACACTGTGGCTGTAAGACCCTGAATGGGCTCTGTCCGTGGAGGCTGGGGGCCAGGGTGGGCTCTCTCTCTCGTGGGCAGAACCCTCTGCTCTCAGTCCCTTGACCCTGGCCCTGTCCCCACCAGCTCTTGAAACCACAGGCTTTGCCAAAAGGTCTGACCACACAGGGCAGCACTGAGGAAGAACTGGGCTACCTTTGTTGTACCATCTCCTGTAGGATTTCAAATTTGGGAAAGGCTTTTTTTGTCAAGTTATTTGGGGGAGAGAGAAAAGCATGAGTGGGAGGCATCTTTCAGCAGACAGAAATGAGTTCTCGGGTAGAGATTTTTTAAACAGCATTTTTGTGCATCTCAGGAGGAGAGCAGGACTGTGGAGGAGGGGCAGGGCAGAGACCTGGACAGGCAGGTGTCCAGGGCGTCTGAAGGCTCCTGGCCACTGCCTGGGCCTCCCAGCTCTCAGCTGGTCACCCAGTCGTGTCTGCCTGGGGCAAGTGTGCTGCCCAGAAGCTAAGGCCCGCTGCTTGGTCTCTGGGTTTACAGGGACACCAGCCCACTCCCTGGGGAGACATGAACAGGCTCTACACCTCAGGCCTACAGTTGGGCTTTCAGGCAGCCCACAACACCCCCAAGTGGACGTGCAGAAAGTGGTATCTTTAAGGCCTTCTCTGGGGGAGGGGAGTCTGTAGGTTCTGTCCAATTCAGAAAAGTGGGGATCCGAGGACTGAGATGATGCTCACCAGGCAGTCAGAGTTGTGAGGTCTGTCTTCTCCTGGGGTGACAGACACCCCAGGAGAAGACAGAGGAAATGAAGGCAGGGAAGGGTAGATGGGGGACGGCAAGAGAACACCCCAAAAAAGGCAGCCAGAGCTCAAGATAGGAGGTGTTATTTTACTTACACACTTACACACTTACACACACACACACACACACACACACACACACACACACACGATAAAGCAGACCGGAAAGCAATCCATGAGTGCCCAGGAGTGGGCAAAGGGTGAGCCCCACCTGGAGGTAGCCTGGCCACCCAGCGACTCACCGGCTCCCTCTCCTGGCAGGATCGCCTGGAACACCCTGCCTGGCACCCTGCAGACTGAGGCTACCGCTTGGGAGAGGAGCAGCTGTGGCGCCTGCCGCGCCTGCCTGCCGCGCCGGCTCTGGAGTGTGTCAGCCGGGCAGCCCTGGCAGGAGCAGCAAGGAAACAGGCTTTCCCCAGGCAGCAGCAAGGGATCACGGGGTTAAGCCCTGTCACGTCTGGAAAGCGGCAGGCCACCAACTGATGCCCTGCCAGCTGGCTCTGGGCTCTTCTTGGGTCACCGGGCCTCAAAAGACAGCCAGACTGAGCACCCCAGACAAGCAGAGCAACGCCCAGCTGCATGGTCTGGCCAGCTGGGCTGCAGTCCACTGCCCCTTCCTCCTCCGCCCACCCAGAAGGCTGGAAGGGGGCTTGGGAACGGAGGCCCAGGCTGCTGCCCGCCTCCTGCAGTCACCCCCACCAGTGATCCGCCCAGCCCGGCTTCTGCCTCTCTGAAGCCTTCTCTGATCACACCTGGGACTCAGCTGGCTTCTCCACAGTGAAATACGGGCACATCACAGAATCGCACAAAGAAGTCAAACAGGTTTAAAGATGCTGAGCATCTGGCACACAGTGGGAACCCAGTAAACGGTAGCAGGAGGTGGTGAAAGCCAGAGTGAGGGGAGAAAGGGGAAGACAAGGGGGCAGGCCACTTCCCTGCCCCAGGCACACACACACACCTGTGCCCTGGCCCAAGTACTGGGCAGGCTGGGAAGAGGCCACCCTGGCCCGCACCTATCCCCAGTAGCTAGCGATGGGTGGGAAGTTCTGAAGAATCAATGACATGTGGGCCCCACCCCTCTCCACCCAGTGCCACCAAGAGGGCGGCAGGACCCCCTCTGCTGAAGGAGCAGATGAAGGCGGGAGCCGAGGCCCCACCAGGCGCACACTAGCTGCCACTCGAGGGGCAGGCCCTTCAGGAGAGACTCCTACAGGAAGCGTACTGACCCAGGACAAAGACCTTCCAGGCCACTGAGGAGATCAGTAACCAGGAAGGTCCCAGGGAGCTGGTCCTGCCTTGGGGAAACCACGCAGGGTTTGAATTGGGTCCTCAACTTTGTCTCACAAGGGAGCCCGGGTCAAGCAGGCACCTTGGGCTGGTGAAAGCCAAAGGCCGCCTCTTCTGGACGTTTATCACACGGCAGCTGCTGGGCTGGGCATATCTCATGGTACACAGTCTATGCTTTAACCGACAAAGAAACAGGGCCCACAAAATGAACTTTCCCAAGGTCACAGGGGAGACAGGGTCCTCCCAGACTTGCAAGACCACAGATCTCCTGCCCCACTGAGTCACACACAGCTGCCATGACTTTCTCTGTGAGGCTTTTTTCTTTTTGAGGCATGGTATCACTCTGTTTCCCAGGCTGGAGTACAGTGAGAGGTGTCACCACAGCTCACTGCAGCCTCGACTTCCTGGTCACAGGTGATCCTCCCAACTCAGTCCCCCGAGTAGCTCAGATTACAGATGCGCCACCACGCCCAGCCTTTGAGGTTTGACTGGCCTCAGACAGCTGTTATCCTCGAGGCCACTGTGCCCCCTGCCCCACCCAGGAACTAAGACCAAGGCGTGCAACTCAAGCCATGACACAGGACACACTCTAAAACACTCCCTGCTCAGCACTAAGTCTCCAGGGCTCCAGACAGGACGCCTGCTCTCGGCACTCCCAGATGAGGCTCTCCCCTCACCACTGCCCCTCTCTCCCTCAGAGGCTCCCCCAACCAGATCCACCCCACCCCCACCTCAGCTCCAAGTCAAGCTAGCCTCTGTGCCCCTTGACTGTCCCATGGGTCTGGGCATCCTCAGTCATCCTCTGTGCTTCCTAAGGCCAGGGACGGGCCACACCCAGACTCCAGGCCCATCCCTGAGTCCCACTGCAGAGCTGGAAGAACTCAGATGAAAGGCTGGGAAAGGACGCCACCACATCACAGTGCCAGGCAGGCAGTGCCTGTCTGCAGGAAGCGCCATGCATATTCTGCAGCCTGGCACTCAATGCCACCCAGAAACAAGCCCGTCCAGTCCCTCTAGATGGAGCAGCAGCTGGACGTCACAAATGCTCAGATGGCATCTCCAGGCCGCCCAAGGGAAGGCTGGGGGAGGGGGCTCCATAGAGCCTCCCTGGGGCAACTCAAGTGTGAGACCGACCAAGGTCACCCCGGTCATCATCACATCACCCACGTGGTCTGCCGTGGCCCAGTGCTACTAGCCAGGCAAGCTCGATGGCCCACCCCGTCACAAGGCGGCCCGCTGTTCCTGCCAGGCCTGGGCTACACCATGTGACCACTGGGCTACCATCTGTGAGGTGCCTGCTGGAAGGAAGAGACTTGTCAGTCTGGGGACAGAGAAGAGCAACTAGCCAACACAGAGACCAACCCTAGCCAGGAACTAACGGTCGCAGATTACGCCAGCAAGGCAGGCCAGCTACTCCCAACCGTGGGCGTGCAATCAACACTAGGCGACCCTTGGAGAAACTCTCTGCACTGCTGCAAACCATCCTCTCCTGGAAAGGACAGGTTTTCATCTCTCAGACATTCATATATTCTCCATGCCTGAGGACAGTGGCAGTGAATGGTCATTTAAAAAAAAAACACCTTTGCTTGCTAAAATTAAAAGTTAGCAACCTATATCTGGCACCAAGATTTCTAAGGGTATGTTAAAATTCCCACCTCGTAGCCGGGCTCAGTGGCTCAGCCTGTAATCCCGCGCCTTTGGGAGGCCGAGGTGAGTGGATTGCCTGAGCCTGCCGGTTTGAGACCCGCCTGGGCAACTTGGTGAGAACTCATCTCTCCAATAAATCAAAATGAGCCGGGCATGGTAGCGCACGCCTGTAGTTCCAGCTACTTGGAAGGCTGAGGCGGAAGGATCGCCACAGCCCAGCAGGTCGAGGCTGCGGTGGCCGGGGGCGGCCACTGCACTCCAGTCTGGGCGACAGAGTGAGACTCCAGCTCAAAAAAAAAAAAATCCCTGCCTCATGACAGCTACACTGCTGGTCCTCACCGGGCTGGGCCTCCTCTTTGGGATGAGCCCAGGGGACAAGGCCTGCCTGCTCCCGAGGCAGCCCCGGCTTGGGCTTCGGTCCCCAGCAGGATCCCATTTCAAGCAATTTGTTCTCTGGCAACTGCATCCCAGGCTCTGCTCTCCAATCTCCCCAGGGCGTAGGGAAGCCAGGTTGGGACGATTTCTGCTCCTTTTTCGGCAGTGACTCCTACCTGGCTGGTCTTAGAACTCCCCCACTCCCTTATGCTTGGCAGTTATGACAACGGAACAGATTTTCCCCTCTCCCTGGCAGGCGGTGGGTCCGCAATGCAACGCCCACTCCCAAATGCTCCGGCTACAGGGAGGGGGGCAATCAGCCGCCTGTGGGGGGTGGGGACTGTGGTGGTGTTAATGCCAGCCGGAAGAGAACCAGCCTGAAGTGACACGGCTTCGCCTTGGGCGCCTCCCACCTAGCCTATCGCGTGTCGGCCCCTGGAAAAACCCGGCGCCATAAAGAAACCTGAGGACTTGTGTACAGGTACACAGACGGTGCCCGGGCAGCGCCCATGTGGCCCTGAGGCCTCACCTTGGGGGTCGGCTTTCTTGAACGCGTTGCCAGCGTCCACGAAGCAGGTGGCTGCATCGTGCTTGCTCTGGAGCTGCAGGTGCAGCTGGGCGGCCTGGCAGAAAGCGTTTCCAGCAGCTGGAACAGAAAGAGGAGGGATCCCGGCCTCAGTGGGCTCCACACAGACACTGCCCTGGGAGAAAGCTGGGCTCTTGAGAACGCGGAGAGTCGAGAGAGAACAAGAGTGACCTGAGTGGCCCAGACTGAGACCCAGACCTCAGGTTTCCCGACCCCCAAGCTGGAGCTCCTGCTAGCCCATCTGTCAGCCTCTGAGGGGGGTCCCTGAACCCCAAGTGTCCAGGGTGAGCCTAGCTAAAGTCCCATGTCCCTAATCCCAGTCCCTGTCAGCATCTCCAGGGCCACCACTTCTGAGGCTCCAAGGAGAAGACAGACAGCCCCAAGAGCTGCAGAAGCTGTAAAGACAGGCTGGGGGTCTTCTGTCCCTCCCAGTTTTGTCAAGTCTCTCTAGGAAGCCTCTAGGGCCCAGAAGCGCCACCAGAAGACAAAGTGGAGGCTGAGCCATGAAGGGAACTTGTGGGGGCTGTTCTGGAAGGGACGATCAAGATTAAACCACACAGCAGCTTCCCGCCTTCTCCCCCTCCCCACAAGCTCCTCGTGTCTAACTCCCCCAGCCCTCCGCCTCTGTCCACATGCTGTGGACAGAGGCAGGCCCCGCGGGCAAGGCACGGCACCAACAGCATGCACATGGAGTAGGGGGATGACAAGGGGCCTGCCTCCTCCGGGAGTTTCATGTACAGAAAGGGAAACACGGTGTGGCTGCCAAGAACTCAAGTACACGTGGACAAGTGTTCGTGGGCACAGGACACCTGAAGCCTCATCTGTTCTGTGCTCATCTGCACATAGACCCCTTCTGTGAATCCCAAGCCATGCTGACTGCACGTCCCCAAAGCTGACTTTCGGGAGGGAATGGCATCTCTTCTTCTCTGTGGATTCCAACCACCATCTCCTGCTCAGTTCCCAGGCGTCTTCCCTTTATCCCCTGCAGCTGATCAGAGTTCATGAGCGGGAAGGACCAGGAGGCCCAGCCCGCCCTCTTATTTTGAGCAGCAGGAAGGAGAAACCCTTCCAGTTTTCTCTACAGGCCTTCATTATCATTTTTAAGAGTTCCAAATTAGAGTGTAAAATTTCTAAAAGGGAATAATACTGGGGGGAAAATGGCCCAGGGCTTTTATTTGAATAGTTTGGGGGTGGGAAACAAATTTTAGGGGAAAAGCAACATTCGTGTGATTAAAAAACAAGTGTTTCTTCTCTAGAGGAATTTCTTAGTTTGGGAGCAAAATACATGTAGTGTTTGGCACCAACAGCATGTACTGTGTGAACACTCAGGAAAAACTCTTCTCAGAAATGGCAGTCATCAGTTTTCTCCTGAACCTCTGCACAGGCCTCCACGGCCTTGCCACCAGCTTTCATCTCCTCCATAGCCACAAGAGTTCCTCCCTGGGCTCTAAAACTGTGTCTCTGGCTCCCAGATCTCCTCCATCCAATCTTGTTGACATTGAAAGCTCCATTAGGAAGTCAGCCTCACACAGGCTCCAGGCACTAGGAAATCAGCATCACACAGGCCCCAGGCACTGGCTCCTGGGTTCACCTCTGTGGCAGACAGCCCCACCCACGTCCACCCCTCTCTGGCCTCAGGAGGCCTCCCTGCCTCCTCTTCTCGGTTCAGCTCTACAGCCGCTGCGGGGCAAGCTGAGAGCGCAGGTTCTGCAGCTGGAGCCTGAATCCTGGTTCTGTCACTTATAGCCATGACACCTTGGGCAAGGGGCTGAGCCAAGCCTGTTTCTGAATCTGTAAAATCGGGAGATTAACAAACTGCCCCTCCTAGGGCTGCTGTGACGAGTCTATTAAATGATGCATGCTTGGCACTCAGTACTCCTTGGATGGCAGCTGTGATGTCATCTGGAACCACTCGCACATCCCCCAGCCCAGGATCTGGACTCTGACAGAAGCAATGAGGAATTTACAAGAAAACATGAAATTCCAAACTTGAGAAATTTCTCAAAGAGTCCACGAATCCATGTGGGACTATCTGGATTCAATACTCTGCCCTTTCTCCAAGGTATAAAGTAATTCAGTGGGCACAAAACAACTATACAGCAGACCAGTGGGTTTCTGATGCCAGAGATGGCATCAACAGAGAAGGGGTTAAGGCCAACCTCGGCCAGACCTCCAGGATGGAGGTTGAGGGAGAAAATAGCACATACCACTCCAGTTTTTGGCCATTTTGAACATGTTTGCTGCTCTGGCGTAGATTTCACATGCTTCCTCTATTTTGGATGAACCTCTGGGGAAGACAAGGAAAGAAAAAAGGTAAGGAGACCGCCCAATCTGGTAAAGAAAGTGAGTATCTGCACCAGTGCAGGGGGGCGGGGTCCCCAATTTCCCTGTGAAGACAGCTTCCCTCAGGCCTTGGGCCTGTGGCCCCCACCCCTGCATACAAAGGCAAATCCAATTCAGGCAACTGCTTACCCCCAGGATAGGTGGGTAAGGTACTCACTGGGGGTACTCACTGGGGCACTTCCTGCCCTCCTCACAAACCCAGCCTCTAGGATGCTTCTTGCCTGGGCTGCTGGATGACCACTGGGTCCCAGGCACTCGGCAAATCCCTTTTCCCCAGGAGACTGCAAAGCATTCTGGGAGGTCAGCCTAGACTTAGACATCTAGCTGTTTCCCCAATGACCTAGACCTGTGCCTTGCCCACTGCAGTTCAATGAAGACCTCACAACCCTAGGAGTATGCCAGTACCAACCCAGGATGGGGCAGGTATGTCACAACACAGCTATACAATAATTATTTAAAGATGTATATAAAAATGTTCCCATCTGTGTTTAAAAAAATAGGATGAGAGGAATAGAACATGCATGTTTATATAAACATAGGCTATTTCTGGGCAAATACACAAAAACTTAGTAACAGCGTTTTTTCTAAGGTAGAGTCTGCAAAACTCGGGCCAGGTGTGGGAGGCAGACTTATTCAGCGAGCAGCCCTTGTTCAGTTCTGTCTGAATTTTTTTTTAACCATCTGCACAGTTTATCTATTCTAGAAAAAATATGTATTTTTAATATTAGGATTTATACTTGGCCTTGTGGTCCAGCAATGAATTACATCTCTAGCAATTTATCCTGAGAAACTAATCAGGAAAGTTACAAGGATGTTCAGTACAAAATTATTTACAGTGGCAAAACAACCCTCAAAAAACATACTGCATGGAAGCAGGGGCCTGGGGATACGTGGGAGTTTAAAAATACCACTGTCTGGGCAGTTTCACTCTGTCTTCTTGACCCTCAAGTGTTTATCATGAACCTCCTGACTTGGGGGACCGCCCAAGTACCTCACGCCCATGAGTCTCGCCACTTCCTTCTGTTCTGAAAAGCCCTAAGAACCCAACCAGGCTAATTATTATTAGCCCACGAGGTCTGCAGTCTCTTGTAACTGTTCAAACTCCCACCCTCCACAGAATTAACAGAATAAAATCCACACAAGAGTCCCACCAGATGGACCTCAGGTTCTGTCTTCACTGACATAACCAGTGGTTGGTTTTAGATTTTTGTTCTGTTTTGGAGTCAGGGTCTCACTGTCGCCCAGGCTAGAGTGCAGTGGCATGACCATGGCCCACCACAGCCTCAACCTTCTGTGCTTAGGAGATCCTTCTGCCTCTGTCTTCCAAGTAGCCAGGACTTAAAAGTGTGCCACCACACCTAGATAATTTTTTGATTTTTTTGTAGAGGTAAGTTCTTGCTACGTTGCCCAGGCTGGTCTCAAACTCCTAGGCTGAAGCAATCCTCCCACCTCAGCCTCCCAAAATGCTGGGATTACGGGTATGAGCCACCGTGCCCAGTGTTTGTTTAAGAGAAAAGGAGGGGATTTTCCCAACTAAAAGCCACACAAATCACCCTTACTGTCCTACCTCTAACCTGTGTCAGCTGACCCAGCACTACATGTGGAAACTCACCCACACCAACCACAGCTCTGAAGGGCCTCTGAGGTCATTTTGGGAGTGCAGATGGGCGGTCTCACTCCCTCTGCACTGCAGACCCAGTCTGTCCAGTCCACCCATCCCTCCCACCACTTGAGATGCTCATTATATCAACCTGAGCCCTGCAGTCACATTCCGGAGATCCCACTCAGTAGGTCAGAGTGGGGCCTGGAGTCAGGATTCTTAACAACTAGGGTTTGGGGGCCCCAGGTGATTCAGAGGATCAGGTGAGCATGGGAAGGAAAAACTGAGACCAACCACCTGGAAAGAGTCACCAGTGCCCTGTCCCAGGCGTGGCAATGTCAGCAGGCCAACATGCCCAGGGTGGATGGATGCCCAGTCTCCTGAATGCAAGCCACATCGGGTCAGGTTTGTTAGATGACAGGTGCTGTCTGCCTTCTGGTCCTGAGCAGTGTGCTCCTCCCACTTACCCCAGCCAGCCCCACATTTTGGGTCTGGGGCCCCCGTCTGGAGTGATGTCTTTAGAACCCACTCCTGCTGGTGAAGAGGTAAGAATGTTCAAACACTTCTGGCAGAGAAGAATTCCAAAGGGGGCCCCGGGGCCTGGCTGCAACAAAATCTCAGGAGGACCTCTTCTGGAATGTTCTCTCTCTTTTTTTTTTTTTTTTTTAAGTTGGGGTCTCACTCTGTCACCCAGACTGGAGTGCAGTGGCTGCTCCCGGCCACCGCAGCATTGACCTGCTGGGCTCCGGTGATCCTTCCGCCTCAGCCTTCTGAGTAGCTGGAACTGCAGGCGCGCGCTACCACGCCCAGCTCATTTTTTGATTTATTGTAGAGATGAGGTCTCGCCAAGTTGACCAGGTGGATCTCGAACCTGCAGGCTCAGGCAATTCACTCACCTCAGCCTCCCAAAGGCGCGGGATTACAGGCTGAGCCACCGAGCCCGGCTTGGAATATTTTCTTAAAGGGACATGCTCACAGACCTTAATCACAGGTCTGTCCACCCCACAGAATCCCGGTTCATCCCTCCCTTGCTGAGTGCCAGTAAGTACTGCCCAGCTCCAGACATTCTCTGGAAAAGCGTAGGCTCCCAGCTGAACAGAAACGGCCCATCTCACTGAGAGGCTCAAAGCAGGAGATCAACAATGAGCAGAGTCAGCCCTGACTGGGTTTGTCTCAGTTCAGTGGGATAGAACAGATGCAGAACACAAAGCCTACCAGCTGCCCGGGCTGAAAGTCTATGATCTCAGACTAAGCTGGGCCCACCACACTGGGTCAACGATTCTGAGCACGGGGTGGAAAAGCCAGAGGGATTAGCGCCTGCTCAGACCCAGGGCCTGTCGCCGCCTCCCCTGCACACTCGAGGCCTGGCCACTGCCAATTCAGGGATGTCAGGCCGTCTCTGGAGTCCCATCCTCCTCTTTTAGAGACAGGAGTACAGTCCCCAGAGGGCAAAGTGACTAAGTTTCACCAACAGATCCTGAAGAAACCATCCACACAGACACTTATTCACCCAGGCAACAAATGTCAAGGCCCTGGAGATAATAGCAGTAAACCAAAGACATAGGTCTGGCCTCAATGCACAGGAAATCAACAAGACAGTTTCCGTGATGAGGTCGCACAGGGGCTGGGAAGGAGGGAGCTCCCGGGGCAGGTCAGGTACAGCTGCTTCTGAGGACAGGAGACCTGGGTCAGTTCCCGGTGAGGATGAAGGAACCATCTGTGGAAAGAGGGAAGAGCATCCAGGCAGCAACCCCCACATGTGCAAAGGCCCTGAGACAGAAGCCAGGGGAGGAGGTCGGCCAGGATGGAGACAGTGTGGGAAGCACCCTGTTCTACTACGCAGGACGTTGCTGGCAGGCAAAGAGTCCCTGGAAGAAGTCCCCAGCTCCCCTGCTCTACCACGCTGTCTCTCCACATGGTTCACTACAGGATTTCTCTCCAAGTCAGGTGGCTCACATCGCCCATCCAGGGTGGCCTCCCGACTAAAACTTCAAACTCCCCAAGGGGAGAAAACCAGGTCTTCTCTCTCTGCACCTGCACAAGCTCCAGAAAAGCTAGCTGGGCCTCTGCTCCTAAAGGGCCTGGGTGGCAGTGCATGTGACAGCTGGCTGTCCCTCCCCCACTGACCTCGCCCAAGCTGCCTCTGCTTCACTCTTCTCATCCCACCGCTCTGAGCCACCCGGGGAGGAGAGGGAACCGGTTGGGGCCAGCCTGATGCAGGGCTGTCTATAATTACACACTCAACTTTGCTTCCCCCCTCCCCGAGGCGGGAGGAAGCACCCTCTGGTCTCCCAAGCACAGCCACCAACGCCAGCGAATGCCGTATGGAGGGCGGTGTGCTGCCAGGAACACACTGATGCCTGGTGGGACCCCAGCCAGGGGGCTCTGCAGGGCAGGTCTCAGCCTCCTCCCTCCCTCATCCACCCCCAGGAGCACTCCTGGCTGCCAGAAACGCCACCCTCGCCTGCCACCTGCGGTTACCTAAGGAGCCCGCGAGGCAGGGCTGATAGAGCGACCCTCCATTTTAGGTCCTGGACTCTGTCTCTCCTGTTCCTGGTGGCAGCCCCAGCCCCTACTTCCCTCCTCACACTGAAGGCCCACTGCCCTGTCAGTCAGCTCAGCGGGGAGGAAGGGGCCTCTTGCCTTTTCTACAAAGGCCTCTTGAGCCTGGCTCTTGGTATCCCAAGGACCTTACGGAGGCCCCCAAGCCCAGCTCAGTATTAGCACCTTCACCGAGGCTAACACAGGTGCCTGTTGCCTCCCCAGCCCTCTACCTGAAGGAGGCTTGCCTCCAAGAACCCTGTGGGCACTGCCCCTGCTTTCCAAGGAGGGAGCTGCCCTGGTTCACACTGCCAGAAAGCAGCAGGGCTGGGTAAGGGGGTCAGGCCCTTGCCTCTCACTCAGGGATCAGGAAGGCTTCCCGCCAAGTGCCCATGAGCCCTCTGGAAAACAGGTTTTCAGGTCCCTGGCTGCTCTGGCCCCTCTACTGTTGCAGAGCCACAAGAGGCCTGGAGGCTGAGGCTCCCTCCTCTACCAGGCACACTCTGCTCCCAGCTGGAGCCACGCTGAGCGTCCTCTGGGCAGGGAGGGCTTAACTGAGCCAGCCCAGCCGAGTCACAGTAGGTCCACCAGGCAGAAGGCACGCTAGAAAAAGGAGAGGCTGCCTGCCACAGGGGCCACCTGGCACAGGGACAGGCCACCACCACCAGCCTTGTTCCTCCTGCACCCAAGCGCTAAGCCACTTGCCACCTCTTCAGTCCTGCAGCTTGCCTCCCTGATCACACTGCGCTGCCCTCCTATCTCCCCAGGGCTTGCACAAGCCCCAGTAACAACGATGAAAGAAGACAGTGCCACACGCTAGCTGTCCAGGTCTGGAGTCATCACAGGACCCTCTCGGGACATGCCAGTCTAGGCAAGGGGCAGAAAGAGACTCGGGGTGGAGAGACCTGGGCTGCAGCCTGTGCCAGGCACTTGGCTAGGTGTGTGGTCGTGGGCCGGTCATCTCTGGGCCTCAGTTTATCTGCAGAATAGAGACAATGGGCCTGACCCAGGAGGAGCCTTCACAAGGGTCAGAGATGCCGGACACTCAATACTTGGCACGGGGGCGGTAGAACAGGTGCTCAAATGGTTGCTATTATGCGGGGCGGAGAAATGCACTCAGAGGGGTGCCAGCCACTCAGGAGCGGATTCTAGAGTTGCTTGTGGTGGTAAAGGACAGTCGCCGACAGCAGTCAGACAGGCCGGCCTTCAGTGCCAGCTCACTGCTCACTAGCCTCATGCTCTCGTAGGTGGCCAGCACAAAACTCCACACCCTGCAGGGTTTCAGGCAGCACCCAGCAGAGGGCTGGCCATGCCGGAGGTGTTCCGTGGTTGAGGACAGCTCTCCCATCGGGCCCTGCAGGGTGTGCACCTCAAAAACACTGAGTTGGTGTGGCTCTGCCTCCCCACCCCTAAGTGCTGCCCACAGTGCTGCTCACTGGCCTGTCCCTTCCCCACAGAGCAGATGGCACTCCCGGGCCGCAGCCCTTCTACCCAGGCTGGGAGGCTGGGAGGCAGGGACTGTGCCCGCCACACCACCTGGCAGGCCTCCTGCGTTCTCCGACTCACGCCCCTGCACCCTGACAGGACTGCACACCATTGCAGCCCAAGGGGGAACATGGCTTCTCGTAGAGGCATTCTGAAAGACCCTCGCCTCTCAACAGCCCCAGCCAAAACAGGAGGAGCATGGAGACATCTGATCAGGCAGCCTCATACTCCGTGGAGAAGGCAGCAACTCTCGGATTCTCCAGGAACCTCGCATGCCCTCAGAAGAGACTCCACACTGGGGCTGGGCAAGAGATGCCAAGTTCTCAGCTGTGGATCTTGGCAGCCGGCAGGGCACTGGGATTCACCACAGTACCCGTGGCAGTGACGCCGGGTTTCTGCAAGTTCGCAGAAATAGTGCCTGGAAGCAGAGCCAGAAGCTCGCACCCAGGCAGGTTCAGCTGGGACCCCCTGTATAGGGCCACCTCCCGCCTTGGCAGTTCTTTCCCAACAAAAGCTGATGGCCAGGGTCCTGGGTTGCTGGTTCCAACCAGCGGTTCAAACAGAAATGTATGTGTCAACATTTGCTCTCAGGATCATGCTGTTTGTGTACAGAATACCCTGTCACCTCTGTCTCCGGGGTCTCCAGCTCAAGGTCCTTGACAATATCTAATAATGATGGCCATAAGCGCTTAACTGGTATCACCAGGGCCAGGCTCTGTGCTCACACCTTCCACACACTACCTCATTCATCTACAGATGCCCTAGGAAGCTCCTGTTTCATTTCACAGATGAAGAAACTCCCTAAACATGCTGGTATCCAAGAGAAAAGGAGCTGTGACTGGTTTTTGGTGGGGGGAGCAGGGGCGGAGGTGGCAGGGAGAGGAGCAGAATGAGGAAAGGCCCCAGGGAACAGAGCCGACTTCAAACTGGTACAATCCCAAAGGGGCCCAGCAGGATGTCCCTGGCCCCACGTGGAGACCTGGAGACCGTGCATCAGCTCACCCCTCCCTGTTCTGCTGGTTCATGGTTTTAACTCAGGAAATCTCCATCTTTTTGCTTCCAGAGCATAAGTTTGGGCTGCCACCCCCCCCCGAAGGCATAAAACGGATTTTGAGCTCTACCCACTGGCTGCGTGTGGCAGCTGGGAAGTAATGGGAGCACAGGCCATCAGAGCCCTGAGGTGGGCAGACCCACACGTGTCCTGAGATGGCGCCCAGGTAAGGGCAAGTTCACTTGGCCCTTAGAGCAGAGACCCTCAAGGTTGGGGGAGGGAGAAACACGAGGGACAAGTTGAGACCCAACACTCCTTTTTCCAGGCCCTGGAAGCTACTGAGGACTTGACTGAAGGTGGACTGTGAAACGTTTACGCAAGCGAACCCAGGTCCAGAGGGCAGAGGTGCCTGCAGTGGCTCCTGCCCATCAAGCGGGCCCTCTGGAGACACCCCTCACTGGACCACAGCTCTGGGCATACATGCTGTGGTCCAGAGCCTCCCACTGCCTACCCTCGGCCCTGGCTTCACTGCCTCCCCACTAGCACCATCTAGCGCTTTTGAGATGGAGGAACTGGGATGAACACACCAGATTCTTTCAGTTACTTGGAGGAAACTGCCAGGGTGCAGGTGGAGAACAGCGGCTCCCAACAGGCCTAGTTTGCCAACCATGGTCCTGCGGTGCCCAGGATGGGCACGCACCTCCAGGAGAAACGACTGGCAGCCCCGCGCAGGGCCAAGGGAGGCTGTGGAAGAGGCAGCTGGGGTGAAGGTCGCCTCCCACTGCTGAGCCCCAGGCAACAGCCTCCACGGGAGCTCTGTGAGGACTAAACAGGAGAACGTGGCCAGGCTGGCCCAGGCCTGGCGCAGGCAGAGCGAACACATAATCTCTGCTGGGCTCACTGTCACTGCCGCAGCCACCTGCCCTCACACCCCCACGCCAACTGCTGCAGCATTTCTAAGAGGCAAAAGGGACCCTCAGGACTGGCTCCCCTGTCCCACAAGGCCTCACCCTTTTCCAGCCTCACCCCCTCCCTTCCAACCATGATCCCACATGGAACGCCCCCAAGTTAAACCGTCATGAGGTGCCTCACACGTCCAGACCTCTGCTGAGTGGTCTTCTCTCCCCACCAGAGAGCACCTAAAACCCCTGTTCGTTACCCACACGGAGGTCACCCCCAGGAATCCAGCTCTGGTCCTTCTGGGTCTCGGTTCCCGGTCATTCCAGGTAGACCCTGCCCCACCTCACACTAGACCTCTGTTCACACTACCCCTGCTACCCAGAACCTCCTCCCAGGCCCCACACCTCCACACATCCTGGGGTTCCTGGGGCCAGCTTCCCCCTCACCAATAGCCCTCTCAGCTCAGGTCACGTGTGTGACAGTCTTGCCCTGCCTACACTGGCGATTCTGCTTGACCAGTGCTCAGAGTTAGCCTTGCCTTCCACCAGGTGATAGGGGTCTCAGGGCCCGCCTTAGCTGCTCCCTCCAGGCACAGTCCAGTGGGGCATTCATCCCCGGCCGAAGATACCCTGGGAGACCCTTACCAGACACCGAGCTCTTGGCCCCAGCCCCAAAACACTGCACTTGAACTTCTCTCCTTGTGAAGGGAGAGACACTACACACCCTCTCTCCACTCAGCCTCTAAACAAAGCATTCCTCACCCAATCAATCCGCTCCATCGGCCCGTATGTGTTTCTCCACACCTGCCAGTTCTCAGCCTCGCCCTTCAAGTTCTTTCAGCAAACATCCGACCTCAAAGAAGGGGCACAGCTCCTTTCTCTGTGACCCCCATGCCCTCTCCTCAAAGACCCCCCCCCATTTCCCACCTGCCTCTACCGGGCTCCTAACAGTCTCCTCCAGTCCCCAAGTCCCCGGCCCCAGCCTCCGGGCCGACTCTCCCAATCCCGCACCCTCTCCCGTCCACACCTCTCCCAGGTTCCCAGACCTAGCCCTGCCCCACCATACCTCTTTCTCTGCCCTACACTCCCGCCAGCCCTCCGCCCCTGCAGGCCCCTCCCCTCTTCTGCAGCCCAAGCCTCAAGCCCCTTTCCCCTCCTTCCGGTCCCTCCCCCCATCACATGCAGGCCTGTCTCCTAGTCTCTGTCCCTCTGATCCTCACCAGATGTCTTCCTCCAGCCTCCCACCTTGATCCCCATCAGGCCCCTGCACGCCCCCAACCTGGCCCCCACCTGTAGTAACATTAACAGCAACAAATGCTTTCAGAGCGCTAACCGAGGCCAGACGCGGCTCTAATCCTCACAGCACACCCGATGTAGATTTTACCACTGATCTCCTTTAACCGGGAAGTCAAACAAGTCACCCGAGATCCTGGAGGAAGTGGCAGGGCTACATTCCAAACTTGGGCTCCGGACACTCCTAAGCCACCAGGATGCCTCCGAGGACGGTCAGCTTTCTTGAGCCACCGCGAGTTTCAGGTGAAACGTCCCCCATATGGCAGGACGTCCTCTCAGGCCCCTCCAGGTCGTCTTCCGAGCACAGTCAACCCTGGAGACCCCGTCTCTGCGGGAGGATCCCCGGTAGCCTCTGACCCCCTTTCTGGCCCTCTCCTTCCCTCTCCCCTCCCTTTCATCCTTCCATGTCCTTGGCCAAGCCAGCGCCCCTCGCTGTCCCGCCCGGAGGTCCCCGGCCTCGGCCCAGGCCCCCTCAGTCTTAACTCTATCACCGCAGGTCCTCCGCTCAGGTGTCCCTGGGCTAGTCGCCGCTAGCCAGGCCACCCTCACCCAGGTACCGCACACACCTGGGCTCAGGCTCATCACGTCCAGGAACCCCCGAGCCCCCTCGACCCCGGGCCCGCGCCAATCCAGGCCCCACCGCGCCGCCCGAGCGCTTCACACGGCGTCCCCTAGAGCTCCAGGAGGCTTGGGGGGCGGCTTCTCCCGGCTCCCCCGTCCCTTCGGGCTGGTCCCCTTCAAGGCTCGCAGGCCACGTCCTCTCGGCCCAGAGTGCCCTTCCTCGCCTCGCCCGCGTGTCCTCACCCGGGTCCCGCCCGCCGTCCCGGACTGTCCCGGCGCTGGGCTGCCGCGGCCCGGGCCCCAAGGCCGTCAGCCCGCGTCCCCGCTGCGGCCTCGATGGACAGGTCTCCATCGCCTCCCTTCGGGATCCCCTCCGCCCCCTCCGGCCGTGACGCCTTCGTGCTCTCGGCTCAGGTCCCGGCCGACGCTCGGCCCGGGTCTTACCCGAAGAGGCCGGAGAAGAAGGACTGGGAGTTCTTCACTTTGCGCTCCGCCTCGGCCAGCAGCGCCATCGCCTCCGCCTCCTTCCCGGAGTTGTCCATGGC